GTAGTTTACACCCAGTGAATAGACTAGGAATATGAACACAGAATGGTCTCTGATAATCTGAAAACATAGAAATGATTCCCTTATCAAGAGTGGCCCAATGAAACCAGCAAAAATAATTATTCCCCAAGACTTTTTATGCCCTTTAAGTTTGTGTAGGGCAACTGACTGACAGCTGCTTAACATGAGTGAGTGTTTTGAAAACACTGAATATGTACGACCAGTATTATAATTATGTTGTGATGTTTTTATAGAATGTCACTAAACTATATTGCAAATTTATTCCTTCAATGAAACATATGCTGCAAACATCTCTATCCTATTAAGAAACACATTTTGCACTAGAAATGTGCTGTCTGATCCTTTCCATCTTTCTGAATATACAGAACATGTGTGTAACAAAGAGCAAGTACACAGCTACAGGATATAAGGATGTAAGAAACAAGGCAAAGTGGTGTATTCCCATGTCCTTCTCCTGAATAGTGGCAATTAAAATTCACAGCTGCTGGCTGCCCAGATGTTTCTTGTGTTTAGTGCTCTGTAATATGCATCAGAATATACTGTATGACTGCAGTTTCAGTAAACTAGACTGCTTTGTATTCTAAATTCTGCAGACTAGATCCAGTGTGTATATTTTTTCTTCAGATTAGCTTCCCTCTCCCCTACCCCCTTCATTTGCTTGGGGCATTAGCAGTTCAGAAACAAAAGACATTTCCAGCTCAGACTTTAGCTGTATCAGAGTGTAAGTGCAGGTCAGGTCTGATTTATGTGGCACGTCTGATAAGTAGGAGAGGAGAGCAAGATGAAGGGTTTGGGAAAGCTGGTGAACTTGGCTTGACTTATGTCTTCTGCTTTTGTAGGCAGCCAACATCCCTTTGGTGTCAGAACTTGCCATCAACGACATACATTTTGATGACTTTTCTCTCGATGTTGACACCATGATCACGGCTGCTCTTCGGATGTTCATGGAGCTGGGGATGGTACAGAAATTTAAAATCGACTATGAGGTATGATGTTCTGTCATGGGCGATCCCAGGAGTGCACCTGGAACAATATGGTAGCCACTTTGAGCCTCAGGTTTCCCGAATAAAATTGGGGAAGTTAATACTTTCCCTGCACACCTGGTGGGATTACCGTGAGAATCCTGTGAGATGCTTGTGGCAGGACTTCAATGGTTGAGGATTACTCAGACAGAAGACATCATTTTGGTAATGGTCCACCGGAGATACATACAACTTCCTGACATAATCTTTCCCTTCCCATTTCAGACACTGTGTAGGTGGCTTCTGACAGTAAGGAAAAATTATCGGATGGTTCTATACCACAACTGGAGACATGCCTTCAACGTGTGCCAGCTGATGTTCGCAATGTTAACTGTAAGTGTGTTCGGTGACGATGGAAGGTCATCTGTCATTTGTGAGGACCTACAGGCTTCCCCTTCACGTTCCCATTTCTCTGACAAATTGCCCTGTGACTTATTTTATTTTGGAAGTTACCTACCCTGGTGATGGGAGTATATATTTCACAATGATCTCTGAGCTTTAAGGCTGTAAGATCTCTGACACCTTGAAGCAGGTGTAGTCTTGGAATGATTGCTTTAGTCTCTTTTTAATGTTTTATCTTGGGAAACTGTTTTTTTTTAACAAAAGAAATGCTTGGATTTTCAAAGCAATCTTTTTGCAGAGGATATGGGGATGAATGACTAAACAAAGAGATCCACTGGATAAGACTTTCTAGGCTGGTAGAAAGCCAAAGACGGGGTGTGTGAACATTACCCCCAGGGACACGGGAATCCTGAGAGATGCTTATCTGAGAGAAGGTCCAAGGAGGCCCCGGGAAGGAAGGAGTAGGAGTGAATGCTCTCAGGGTTTAGGAGTACACTAGGCTTCAAACCTTCGCTCCAGGTGCCGTAACTCAGTTAAGGTGGCCAGTCTGTTTTAATGGGGACAGCCAGGGCAGCTGGCCAGACGTAAGCCTTGGAATTTAATCTAAAAGGAAATGTTTGTGGCAAAGACTGAAACAAAATCCTATATTCACCTCCATTTGCTGGCAAAAAATAAGGCTTGTTTTGGTTTTATTTGCACTTACACTGTTAAGCTATCATCAAGTAAAATGGTCTCTGGCTTAAATATATTGGTTTCTTTGGCCTCCTGGTGATATATACACATATATGTGCCCATATGTGTGTGTGTAAACATATTTACCACACTCACAAAAGAGAGGAGACCTATTTTGGATTCTCATAACATAAATCCAAATACCTTACATCTTTGCACCCAGATTAAAATTTAAACCCAAAAGAAGGAACTCCAAATGACATTTTCCTTTGGTCCACATGAAGGAAGACTTCCATTCCTTCCTCATGAAATGTTCTGCCCACTTCTCTACCTACTAAAATTTTACTCATTCTTTAAAAGGCATTGATCTAATGCCAGTTTTCCCGTGAAGTCTTTGCTTTCCATTAATCATCAATAATTTCAGTAATCATCAGCAATCATCAGTAATTACTTCTCTGCACTGTGTCTAGTACAACACATCTTTCTTTCTGCTGTGTATTTTAAGTTAAAGATCTCTCATTCTCCTATAAAGTAAGCAGCTTGAGGCTAAAGAGATAATTTGTTGTTCTTGCAATAATCTTAATTAATCTATCTGTTGAGAGCATCACCAGCACCCTATACTCAATCATGTACTTGGTAGGTTTTCAACAAATTTGTGTTGGATTGACTTGAACTCAAATGCACATGTAGCATAAGAAGATGAGACCAAAATGTCTTCATTGTTATACTCAAGGACTTGTTTTTTGGGTCCTTAACTGCTTAAGGAGCAAGGAGAATAACCTGGAAAAACTGGACTGGCCCCATCTCGCTGTAACATACACCATGAAAGCAGCCAAATGAGGAAGGAAGATGCTTTGAGCTGTGAGCCTTAATTGCTGAAGTGCCAAAATTACATGAAAAAAACAAAAACAAAAATGCTTTCGTCTTGCTTTTCCATATCAGATCTCAGTAGACAAGGAATAACTTTCTGTGTGTAGAGTTTATGTACATGGCTCACAGAGGACATTTAATAAAGAAATTATTAACCTGTTATTTTGGAAAACATATGGATTTGTGGTGAATTCCCAAAATAAGTAAGTGGGAACCTTGTTCAACAAAGGATTGGAGATGTCAAAAGCAGAAATAGATTTTACGACAAGCCTTAAAATAGTTGGGATGAGGGAAGCTGGCAAGAGCTTCGGGGTCAGGTGGACACTTAGGAGAAAATGGAATCCACACCCAGTTTTCTTCGGTAAATGTTTCCACAATATGGACAATCTTGATCCTTTTTGAGAAATTGAAGACAGCAGAACTCTCAACCTATGTCAACCACAATGGAGGTACTCTTACTGCCAAAATATTTCAAGGGTATAGTTGTTTTTGCAAGTCCGCTCAGCAACCTTGAAGAGTATCACTGTTTGAGAAAGTCTGGGTTTTGTTTTCGTATTAATACTAGCTCAAAAAGAGAAGAATTCACTCTTAAAGTTCTCCTGGCCGGGGGTGGGGCTGGGGAGTAGGGTGGGCAGAGGTTGCAAAATAAAAACATGACTTTGGGGAAAATACATTGGTGAATGTTATTTTTTTCTCCCTCACATTGAATAGAATAGCCACATCTGGAAAAGATATTATTTTCTGCTCATTAAATGTTGCTGAACTTGACTAAGGGTTACAGTAGGTTGAAAATGTCAACTTTTGTTTGTCCCTAACACAAGCAGTCTCCTCTCCAACTTGACCATGGGCAGCCTGGTCAATCAGAATTTTTTCACTAAGAAAATAATTATAGAAATAACAAATATTACTTGATCAGGGAAGAAAAAGTGAACTTAATTCCCTGATCAATTCTAACTTCTGGAATACGACCTCAGTAGGCAAAGTAGGCAAAATGATAACCTACTTTTCTCCATGAGTGGGCACTAATGCTTCAGGTACTCCTGAAAACTGTTAGGGTCTTTCACTGTTTTGTTCTCATCAGTGATTTTATTTACATTCTAGTTATCCCATATTCCATTTGCATGTGTTGAGTTAGAACCAAAAAATGAAAGTAAAAAATCATCATACATTAACCCCTGGATTCATTCATTCAGCCTGAGTCACAAAACCAAGAAAGCATGGCGCATGTGCACGAAATTTTCCTCTAGATGGCACTCCAAGGCAAAGTTTCCCAGCCAGTTGCCTGGAAAGAAGGGTGGGGGGGCGGAAACCTTACCAACATTCCCTGAAAATGCTTCTTTTCTTCTAAGACAAGAAGTACTGAGACACACACGCCACACTCTTTTCTTAAAAGAGACACCAACAAAGCCAGTGTGCCGAAAAGAGCCCCTCCTATCAAGATGGACCTGTATTAGGGCTGCCTCCTTGCCCGCAGAGCTATTAGTGTGAATAGTATGGCACTCTCCATGTGTCTAATATCTGTGGGTGTGTATTTTTCCAAGCCCATTGTCTCTGGGAATGGGAAGATGCACATTTGTGTGTCATTGATGAGCAAACTATGACACGATGTACAACAGAGCAAATTATACATATAAGAACCGGCTTCCCAACCTTTAACCCTAAAATAATTTCAGACACAGAATATAAAGTTATTCATGAATGAGTGAATTCATTCATTCAGAATCATGTTTTGCAAAAGTATTCCACCTCATGTCTAGGTAACAAAGAGGTTTTGTTCCTTTAGAAATTAAAAAGAAAAAGAACAAACTGCATTGTAGGATAGGCAATTTGATGTATAAACGGTGGAAATTTAGTTCACTGGGAATCCTGTTAATGACTTATTAAATTATTACAAGCCTCTGGCCTGAAATTCCAAATATTAAAATGAAAGCTTCAGTCTTATTCTTTGCTTCTAAAGAGATATTTAGGTAGTTAAAATTTACCAAATATTTTTAATTCCTTGGATAAATGCAGTCTGCAGTGCCAGTTACTATTTGTGGTTAAAACAGGGAATAAATACTGCAGATAGATCAAGAATAATTATACAAATTTTCTTTATTTATAGAAGCTTGTAGAATAAATATTCCAGCAAGCACATACATAGTGAAAGACGATAAGCACATTTCTTACATGCACAATGTAGACCAGATACAGGAACCGACCACGCTTTTGTTTGTATTCTGTCAAATAAAAAGGCATGTGGTGATGCCAAGGTTGCAGGGGCATTTTTCGGTTTTATAAATGATGTATGATCTCTGACAGATTTTCCAGGGGGAAAAACAGGTTTCCTTAAGAGTCGGTATTCTTCACTATCCCATAAATGTACTCATTAGCACTTTGGGCCATGCCCAGTATCCTGTAGGGCTCAATAAAGATTCACTGAATGAGTGGATTCAGTTTAGGGTCATATTATTCAGGGACCCGTGCTGCTCAGTGTCCAGTTTTTCAAAAAACTATAAAATGATGAACAGCTATCATTGCTAGAAATCTTGTTCTTTCTTCCTATCACACTAAGGTTCAGCTAGGGTTCATATAGAATATTATGATCTTGTAGAATTCACTGGATATGAAAAGAGATGAGCACATGATCACATTAAAATTTATGGTGGTGCTGGCGGCCTGGTGCTGGTTGGGAATTGCAGTTAAACACTAATAATAACCAAGTATTGCAGCAAACACATTGACACCTCCTGACATTTACTGGGGGCTTCTTAAATCTTAAATGTGGAGGTAGCGCGTTTAAGTCCATATTTGGGTTGTCAACAAGGTTATTTTCAGAGATAAGCCAAGTCGTTTTATTGATAATTCAAACTACAGAGCAGAAGGGACGTTTAGGAAGAAAAATCCTTCCTGTTCACTAGCTTGAGGATAATGTGCTGTCCTCTGTCTGCCGTTTGCATTGAAGTCCTTGATTTTTGAGGTAGAAAATTCCTTCTGGAAGGAGATCTTAGAAGCACAGTTGTAATTCTCCCTCCCCTTCCAACCCAGAGAAGGACAGAACCAGTTGAATTTTCAAATAAAATATTTTTGCTCAATAACCAGGATCCTAATCTTGACGGAAATCTAGTTTCTTTGTAGGTCCTAACGTTGGAAGGTACAAAGAGATCTGCGGTCTTGTTCTGTAACTCACAGTAACAAAGTAACAAACAATAATCGTATTTATTATCATCAAACATCACTTTACATTGCATTTCCTTGTAAGTAGTAACTAGTTATATTTACTTTAAAATAAATAGCAGCATTATCAGAATAATACAATAAAATCTGTATGTAAGAAATACCAATTCTTTAATCATCATGTAGGTATATCTTGAATTCCAATGTAACTTCAAAGAAGGCAAATTTTTAATTTAGGAAAGGAGTGATTTTTAATGCTTTTGCAGAATACCAGCACTGGGCACTATGGAGCTAATCAATTTGAATACTGTGTTTAAATTACATTTAAGACTCTGGCTTTTAATCCTTTAAGAAGGGTTCTATTTTTATTCTCTCTGGCCACCTCTCAGAGCTCCAGTGAGGTACCCCATGCTTCTAGCTGACATTCCCTTTTTCCACAGTTATTTTACAAAAGGAAAAAGGCAAAGCCGCACATACTTAAGAACCTGGTGTGCTAATAATCAAACAAACAATTGGGCAGAAGGATAATGCAATCCATTTCCTCACACAGGAGAGTACCCTCCATAACTCACTTTAAGCGCTGCCATTCGTGAGTTATGGGTCATTCCCTTTCTAGTGAAAATAAATTCTCCCGCACCATCAGCCAGAGCTGAGTATTTTTCTTAGGACACATAAACTGTAAAAGTGTATGAACATAATTGTGCCGTTGTTTCGGGGAGAATATAAGCTCTTGTCCATGGACACAGGCTTGTCAGGAAATGTATGTAGTTTCAGGGCTGGGGCTGCCTAGTTACAATATAGGATTTTTGATTACAGTGAATTTATTCCTGAGATTTTTACGGTGTTGGTAAACTGCTTAATCTGTCACTCTGTATTTTATGATGCCAGCCAAATCCTCCAGGTCAGGGAGACCCAGGCGTAGAGCCCCAGTCATTTTTCATGGTTTATGACTTAGTAGCGGCACCTTCTTGAGGCTGAAACTTGGCACCTAAGGGTGTCAAGCTGGGAACTTTTAAGTTTTTTTCACTAGTCTCGTGTTTAATTTTAGCTCAATGATGTGTAATAAAAATTTGGGTAAGTTTTGAAGAGGCCTCATATTCTTGAAATTCATCAACCTCGCTTTTTTGTGGCACTTGGAGAGGACAGTCTGTCTGCACAATTAATGTGCACCAGGTGATGTGCTTCATTTTCTGTGCTCGCACACCGCATGTTGTATTCAATTCACTCTCAATTTATCATAAAATATAAAACATATTTCTAAACGTGAAAAAACATGCTATCTTTATCCAAAAAATCATAAAGCGCATATATTCTTAGTATTACAAATTGAGTCCTTAAGAATCTAATGTGGTTTTTCTTTTGTCTCTTTTTGAAATACAATATGCATGCTACATACATGTAGCTTTGTTTTTTGTATTATCTAAATTGAAGGAAAAACCTCAATTTTTAAAGTCTTAAGATAGTTACTCTGAAATTTTCCTTTTACTGTTTGTATTTGTTTTCACACATTTTATCGAAATATGAGAGCAGAGATATATTGACCGATTTTTATTTGACCACATCAAGACCTCTTGAGAATGAAATAAAGAGTATTGACAGATGCCAGAGGTTTGCCTTGAAATATTCTAGCAAACAAACAAAACCGTGCATGTGAAGAGGTAGCTGAAACAAGACAGCGGAACATGGCTTCCTCCTGAAGTTAGGTAATGAGTACATGGGGGCTCAATACAGAATTCTATTTTTCATATGCTTTTAACTTTACAAAATAGATGATTTTATAAAATTAGGGTAACAAGTAGGTTAAAAATTAAGTCAAGGAGGTCGTTAAAAAATAACTAAATAAAATTGATTACAATCAATTCATTTTTTATAATTCATGCATCATCTACTCAAACATACATACTTGTACCAGTTTTGCTGCCTTGCCATTCTGAGACTTACAAGCATTCGCAATATCATTTGAGAATCAGAGACAAGTTGTGTCCAAAACATGACTTAGGTTTTGCAATTTGATAATAAGTGCCTTCAGGAGCTTCTGGTTGTAAAAGAAGTACGTAAGTGTAGACTGTAAGGTCTTCCCAACTCTGAGCTTGATAAGGAAAGGATTATTGTGGACTTAAATCAGTATTTAATTAATGCCAAATCAATAATTGACTAATATCTTGAGAAGAAAGAGAAGCAAATTTGATCAAAACTATCCAACTCCTGTGGAAATCAGACAGACTACAACTGGTTTGTGTTGTTATCGCATGCTTTTGTGAAGGAGACATGTAAACATGGTGCTGGTGGTTGGTGGTCCCCTAACAGCTGGTAAGGTTCTGGTGTCTGGACCTGAAAATGGGACTGAAGTGCCTTGTTTTCAGCCTAGCAGACCCAAATATTGGCAGACAAACATATCTGTAAACACCAAGGGAGTCTGACCGTTAAATCTAGATGCTATGGTTTGTCCAGTAGGGTTTTTTCCTGCAATGGAAGGTTGCGCTTGTGTGAATATCTGTTCTTCTCCCCCTTGTGTTTTCATTACCCACTATCTCTGGTTGGCAAATACAGGATCTTTTTTAAAAGGAAGATAGGATATGGCATTAAGCATAAATTTGTTCGTAGCACTCTTGGTAAGCAAATGAAATCTACTTCTATCTTAAAGCTTGAGAAAGTCCTCTGCCTAAAATCACTGCTTTGGAGCAAATTGAATAGGTTGGTATCCATCAGCCTGCCCCCAGGATTTACATGTTGAGAGGTGGCCATTCCATCTTGAAGCAAAAAAATAGATCCCAAAATAAAGCACGCTGGACTTGCTGTAAATGCCCGTGAAGCCCAAACTTGCGGGCTTAATGCTCTTACTACTCTGATCCACTCTGATCCAGTCAGCTGGGATATGGGCTGAGTTGGGAGGGTGACGGAGGCACCCTTCTCACAGAACCTTCCGTCCTTGTTAGGAGATCTAAGTTTCACTGATAGACACCGCATGTGAAGGATGGCCTAGCACAGCTGGACCAGCCATCAGCATTGTAGTTTGGGACTTTCTTTAGAAGACCAACACACTTTGTATGTGGCATTTACAATGAAACCCTCAACGAGCATTATTTGGCTACAGTAAATTTGATTTTAATAATATACCAAACAAAGGCCCCAGACAGGGCCCCTGCAACACTGCATACCAGAAATTAAGAAACACCAGGAATTAAATGATGCTTCTCTAAATGCTACCTTTCGGCCCCAAGCTCACATCACTTCTAAGGTATGAAGTCATGTTTAGATCAGTTGAGACATGATGACACGATTAGGGATATGGTGTGCAGATTCTTCTAGAGAAGGCACTTCCTTGAGAAACTATGTTCTTCCAAACCTCTTGGAATGGTCTGAGCAGTCTTCTTTGCTCTTCTAATCCAAGGAAAGAGAAAGATGAAGGGGAGAAGAAAAGCTCTACAAAAGCCCATCATGCTCTCTCTTAACCTCAGCCAATCCGTGGAAGGCTCCACTGCAGTGCCGGCTGCCAGCATCCATGGAGGAGCATTTGGAGCCAAGGACCTTCTTCGGTTTGGAATTTCTGGAACCGTTAGGAATTTCCAGTACATCACCGGATTCTCTCCCTCTTAGTCCGCCATCTGCCAGATCTCAGAATCAACAGGATTATCCAGGAAATTCCTCGTCATTCAGTACCTCTGATAGCCAAGTTCAAAAAGAGACGTGAAGGCAGAATTTCTGGCATCACTTTCTCAGATTCCCGCACTGTAGCTGCATACATGACAACAGGCGTGCAGACCATGATGCACCGCCTCCAGAAACAAAGCAGGAGCTAGCCACTCTCACCATCACTTTCTGCGACAAATTGCAACCGATGTTGGGAGAGTTTCTCACTAGAAAAGGGTGCTCCATGGCACTGTTCTGGTTGGCACAAGGCATGACCAGACTATATGCGCAACAAGGGCCAGATGCACCTTTCTTCCTTAGCTCTCCGTTCCAGCCTGCCGTGGAGTAAATGCTGAATCAACATTTGCTCAATGAATAAATGAATGAATGGACACTTTTCAGGATGTCACTGTTTTATTCCAAGGTAGGACATTTTGATGAAACACGGGCTTACTTCTAAAACAAAAAAGAATTTACCTACACACACATAATGTATATGTATTCTAATGAATAAACATTCTTTATGGAAATTTTGGGCACAAAGGAAAAAATTTTAAGTCATCTGTGATCCCACTACTGGTAATATTTTGATGCACATCCTCACTGGTTTAAATTTTATGTTGACTAAGTGATAGGAAACTACTGGGTAGTTTAAGAAACCCTTCAAATCAATCTTATTGTTTGGGTCCTTTGGCATTCCAGTGATTATATGCTCTAATGGCTGGGAATAAGGTTATCCCAGTATACATTTAACCCAGTGAAGGACTGTCACAGGAGACCTGCTCAGAGGGTAGTCACAGACTTTTCTGGAGAGGGTGACATGGGAACTAGCTCTATATGCCATGGCTATCTCTTTACTTAGGTATATGGTATTCACTGCTTTACCACATACCTATATATTTCTGATATGGACCGTGGGGGAATACAGGTGAGAGGATAGAATAAAGTAGTGGTCAATAAAACCCATAATTATTGGATCAGGAGCAGCAAATATATCATTTCATTTGAAAATAAAATAGAATTAAGCATAGGAGAAACACATTAAAATATACTTCCTACTGCCACTCTGTTCTCTGTTGAAAGTATATTGTCTTCAGTGGCAGTTGACTTTTTCTCCTCAGTGTGTGTAAAGTGTAGGTCAGAATGGATAGGACTAGAAAGAAGATGGATGAAGGTGGGGAGGGGCAAATGGACACTTAGTGGCAGGTGGATACTTTTCAGGCCTGACGATTCTGAGAAACCACTTACCAGGCAGCTTTAAGTCACAGTCAAGAGATAGGTGCTGCTTCAGTAACTCAGGCACCACAGTCAAGAGAGGTAAATATGTTTCGTGTGATGGTGTGTGTGCTGTACTTGAGGTGTTCTTTATTCCAAGGATCCAGGGGTGGGCTCCATGTTCTTTGAACACCATAAAATCATAATTTCAGAGGAGAAGGTCCGTGGCTTTTATTAAACTCTCAAAAGTATCGATGATACAAATAGTTTAAGAGCTAGATGCTGGGTTTCCAAGAAGGGATGGGGTAGTGGGGGCGGCAGGAGTGGCTGCATAGAACCTTACAGCAAAACATAGTCCATCATATCATACAATGCGTGGTAACCAATGGCGTAACAGTGATTCGGGATTCTGAACGTGAGTCTATTAGATGGCATTCGATTTTATCTTCCAATTAAATTTCTAGCTGAATTACCTTATTTTGACATTATCCCACCTCTATTCTTACTGTTCTAATTCATCAGCTAGTTCTAAACAGTAGCATTTTCACAGGCAACAATCTCTCTAAATTTCAGTGCATTGTCATTGTGTTTACAACACTGATTTCCAGAGTATCATGGATAATTATTTCATACTTGAGGGACTTTTAGAATTTACTTAGTAGTAGCAAGATCCAAACCCAACGAAACTGACTTACCTTTTCAAGGTGACAGAAATGACAGAGAAAGACATTTATATCCCCTCATCCTTTCAAAAGTTATCCCAAAACAACAAGGAGAACAAGAAATGGACACAAATTCCATTTTTCATGGAGGGAGGATGGTTCGTAGATTAACAAAGAAAAGGAAGGTCCAACCCAAGTGCCTTCAGGGGGAGAGAGTGGAGGAAGGGGTACACCTGAGAAACAGTGTCCCCCCAGGAGCTGTCAAAGCACAAGAACCAGAGGCATCAGATACCATAAACATGGGGCGAGCAGGAGCGAGGGGGTAATGAAAACACTGAGTCCCCAAGTCTCCATCCCCTCTCCATGTAGTCAGAGAACTACTCTTCCCCCATCTATTCAGGAAGCCAGTGTATTTGCCAAAGAAACTGAACCCCAGACTTGGGGACACCAGTTAAAGAAAAGTTAGCATGAGGTGCACTTTGAAAGTAAGAGAATGAAGTGAAAGTCTATATCCTCAAAGGTGAGAAGCTACATACTCTTTTCTCAGAATGCCAACACCTGTGCTCACGCCATTACCAAGCATGAGATTGGAAAGTCCAGAGGAAGTGAGTTTTGATACTGACACATGGGGACCTGCAGCAGGACCAGCTGGCCGTGTGCTCACCCTGGGATGAGGTTAGCCATCTACAGACACCATCCCCAAGTGTGCGTGTGTGGCGAGCGTAGCAGTGCTTTACTCTTCCATGAGTAAGTAGACTACCAAGGATATCAGGCATTTGAGGAAACCACCAAATACAGAGACAAGGAGTTCAGAGGATACAGACAATTCAGGGAACAGAAGAGAATTTCAAGGAATTATAATTAATATCTTCAAAAGAAGAGACCAGGGCTTCCCTGGTGGCGCAGTGGTTGAGATTCCACCTGCCGATGCAGGGGACACGGGTTCGTGCCCTGGTCCGGGAAGATCCCACATGCTGCAGAGCGGCTGGGCCCGTGAGCCATGGCCACTGAGCCTGTGTGTCCGGAGCCTGTGCTCCGCAACGGGAGAGGCCACAACAGTGAGAGGCCCGCGTACCGCAAAAAAAAAAAAAAAAAAGAAGAGACCATAGTGCATCCATGAGAGAAGAATAGCATGCTATTAGAAAAGGAGCAGCAGACAGGAAAATGCTTATAAATTTAAAATATTATTATTCCTGGAAAGTAAGGGGAGAAAAGTCAATATGGGCAATGGGAAAGAAGAGACAAGAAAATAAGGAAATTGTACTACAATGTTCATTGCAGCTGTATTTACAATAGCCAGGACATGGAAGCAACCTAAGTGTCCATTGACAGATGAATGGATAAAGAAGATGTGGCACATATATACAATGGAATATTACTCAGCCATAAAAAGAAACGAAATTGAGTTATTTGTAGTGAGGTGGATGGACCTAGAGTCTGTCATACAGAGTGAAGTAAGTCTGAAAGAGAAAAACAAATACTGTATGCTAACACATATATATGGAATCTAAAAAAAGAAAAAAAAATGGTTCTGAAGAACATAGGGGCAGGACAGGAATAAAGACACAGATATACAGAATGGACTTGAGGACACAGGGAGGGGGAAGGGTAAGCTGGGACGAAGTGAGAGAGTAGCATGGACATATATACACTACCAAATGTAAAATAGATAGCTAGTGGGAAGCAGCCACATAGCACAGGGAGATCAGCTCGGTGCTTTGTGACCACCTAGAGGGGTGGGATAGGGAGGGTGGGAGGGAGGGAGACGCAAGAGGGAAGAGATATGGGAACATATATATATGTATAACTGATTCACTTTGTTATAAAGCAGAAACTAACACACCATTGTAAAGCAATTATACTCCAATAAAGATGTTTAAAAAAAGAAAAAGCAAAATAAGGAAATCAGTACAAGAAATCCAATGTCCAACCAATTGGAGCGCCATTCAAATAGGACAGAAAAAATAGTGAAGTAGAAATTATTAAGAAAAAAAAGATTACAAGAACATTATACTGAAGACAATGAGCCTTCAGATTGAAAGCGTTTATCAAGCAGTGATGGGGAAAAAGTCCCAAACCAAAGCAGATTTTTGTGAAACTGGCAAACCCCAGGCATAGAGGATTCTAAAAGAGAGAAGATCAAGTACCATTCAAAGGATTAGGAATAAGAATGATTTACACTTCCCAAAAGCAACTTTGGAAGTTAGGAAACAATAGAGCAGTCCTTCGAAATTCTGACTGAAAATATTGCAACCCAGAATTGTTAGGCAAGCCAACAATTGAGTAGAAGAATAGATTAAAGACATTTCAGTCATGCAAAGCCTCAAAAAAATCAACTTCCTAGGTGTAAAAGAAATATTAACACCCTTTCTCATGAAGCCACTGGCAGATGTGTTCCCGCAAACTGAGAGAGAAAAACAAGGAAAGAGAGAGATGTGGGATGCAGGAGATAAGAGACCAACCCCAGGAGGGAGAAGCTGACAGCAGACAGAGAATCCAGACCAAAGAACAGCAGCAGGCCAAAGCAGGGAGTCCCTGGGACAGGAAGGGATCTAATAAAAGGTGTGACTGGAGAGTTGTACAGGATGTGAGTCGACTTAGATGTTCAAAGAAATCATAACTCCAGGAAATGAAAACATTTACATAACAAAGGAAACAATAATTGGATACCTAACTGGCTCCGCAGCGAATAATATTTAGAGTGACAATCAGGTAGGCACTGTCTGAGACCCAGGGCACATAAGTTTCTTTGTGCCTCAGTTACCTCATCTGAACTGGTGGATAATAAAATTCCTACGTCACAGGTCTTTTATGAGAATTAAGTAAGTTAAACGGTTGTAATTCTCTTAGGACAGTGTTGGGCACACAGGAAGGATGAATAACCAAGCTATAATTATATATATATAATTATAATATGTGTCTATTATACAGAAATATGGAGGAAAATACCTACCAAATTAGATAAAAAAGAAAACTGAAGGTGGTTGCCTTTGGGAATCAGGATAGGGGAAGGATGAGGGACCATTGTTTTTGGTTCTAAGTCTCTTACTACAACTTGAATTTTTAAAAACTATTACAGGTAATGTCTTAAATAGAATAAAATTAACTTAAAGCCAACAGCCAGCTCCAAATTTTAAAATGAAGGGCACACACAGCTTTAATATGGGCTATTTTATCCTCCCCAGATAATTTATTAACATTCTCATTTGCTATGCAAATGAAATTCTACATATTTCTAAGTGTATCAGTGGACCCAGCTCAATCTTTTAAAATAAAATTGTCAACACAGAAACTTTATTATTCAGTTATTTCTGCAATAAAAACATAATTAACTAAAAAACAAAGTGTTCATTGCTCTAAGAGAAGTGTCTTAGGATACTAGCTAGTGATGTTAGATGTGGAGAAAAAACACGCAAAGGGAAGCAATTTGAACTCTACCTTTCCCCTCCTCCTACCCT